GTGGACACCGATTACCTAATACATTTTAAGTAAACCAACTCAAAATTTATAAGTAAACAATATTTATAAATTACAATTAATCCAAACTTATAAGTTTCTCTTTAATTTTATTCAACATTTGAGAACACCATACTTAAAAGTACTGTTTAACCTAAGTAATGTTTTTAATTTATCCAGACTCTATTATTTTGATGCAAAAATACTTAATTTCATAGAAATACTAACTAAAAAAAACTCTTATGTATGACTCATAGGCTAATGAATTGATCATGCTGAAGTTCAGCATACATAAAAAAAAATACATATACAACATCAGCTAAAGAATTTATTTATTCAGCCTTTCAATTTTTAAAACCTTGTGAATGTCTCTGAACATGTAAAAACACTAGGAATAGAAACCACATTTCTGAACATTTAAAGTGCATCAAGAAATCAGGACATAAGTTTGACTACATCTCTTACAGCAATGCATCAAACTGAAAGTGACATTGAAAAGAAATGAAAAAAATATAATAAAAATTATATAACAAAAAAATATTTAGGGCCTATATAATATTAAAAAAGGACATCAAGTCTATCCCATCGAAGACTTACAAAAACATCCAGAAATACTATAATTTAGTATAGTAAAAGGCACATCTCAATTTAAGATTTAGATCAACAAGTTATACTATTTAAAGTGCAACTATGAAAAACTGAGGTAGATTTGGAGGGCAAAACAATCTACCAAATGTAAACTTTCATTCAAATACTTGAAACAACATAATATACAACAAAATATTTCATTATATATCATTTTACTATGTGACTGTTTTAAAGTGCAAATTATTCCTGTGATGCAAAGCTAAATTTTCAGCAATCATTACTCCAGTCTTCAGTGTTACATGATCCTTCAGAAATCATTCTAATATGCTGATTTGATGCCCAAGAAACATTTATCATTGTTGAAAACAGTCGTGCTTCTTTAAATTTCTCTGGAAACGGTGATACTTTTTTCTGGATTCTGTATTTATTAAGTTTATTAAATTGATTAAATAGAAATCTTTTGTTACATTATAAATGTCTTCAATGTCACTTTTGATCAATTTTAACCCTAACCCATTTTCAACATTGATAATATTAAAACATCTTTCTTATAGGGATAGTTCACCAAACATCTCACACTTAAGTTGTTCTAAATCTGTATGAGTTTCTTTGTTCTCCTGAACACAAAATATATGTTGAAGAAGGTTGGTAACATTTTATGGGTCCCCATTGACTTCTTCAATAGTAATTTATTTTTCATAATATGGAAGTCAATGGGGAACCAAAACAACATTTGGTTAACAACATTCTTCAAAATATCTTTGTGTGTGTGTGTGTCACACATACAAGAAACTCGTACAGGTTTATGACAACTTGAGGGTGAGTAAATGATGACAATTTTTATTTTAGGGTGAACTATCCTTTTAAGTAGTAAATCAGCTTATTAGACTGATTTCTGAAGGACCATGTGACACCGAAAACTGGAATAATGATGCTGAAAATTTAGCTTGGATCACAGGAATAAATTACATTACAAAATAAATTAAAATAGATTTTTTTTTACTTTATTTTTGATTATTTAAATGCAGCCTTGTTGAGCCTAAGAGACTTTTTTCAAAAACATTAATACATTTTCAAATAAAAATTAATTGTTAGGTTTTCAAACTTTTCATTGGTACTGTAAGTGGTAAGGTAAGTGGCAGCTGGGGTCTATTACATAATTACCAGAGCATTGCTAGAGTTTATAATAATAATAATAATAATAATAATAATAATAATAATAAACAATTAACAAAGACAAACAATCTTGGATTTTAGCAGCCTGATACTAGCAGATTTGTGTATGAACTGAATACTTACATTCCACATCTTAAAGAACCGTGGGTCTTCCTCACGTAAGTATACTGGGATTGCACGAAGGACTAACGTGCGCTTCATGTTGGCATCATGAAAATCCTTCAAAAACAAGTAAAAATTAGGCTAAGTAAGCAAGCCAACTTTATTTTATTTTTAATACAATGAAGAAAGAGACTGTTGTAGTTACTGCTGACACAGTTTTACACAGCAGTCCATAGCAGAACCTTATTTGGACCAAGTTAATCTTTAACTTACCTGGACATCATAAACACTTAGGATGTCACGCAGCATCTCTGATACTTTGCCGGTGCGTGCTGCCTTCTGTCTGAATAATGCAACGAGTTGTGGTGTGTGTCGGTCGAGCTCAACATAGAACTGGTTCCGTAGGTTGACATTTGTAATGCGTTGGAACTCGGCACAAACCTAGAAAACCAAAAGTTATATACAAAAGTGTATAATAACCAATAATGAATTTAGAAAAAATAAAGATGAGTCTGTGTTTTACCTGTGCTTCAATCTGAAGGGCCGGCCATTTCTCTAAGAAGGTCTTCACCAATGGGTTTTCCAGAACAATCTCTTGTCGATGAAGGGCAGAGGTCTTCTGCATAAGATTTTCTATCAACAATAGGTTTTTCTCTCTCTTCTCAACTAAAGAAATAATCTGAACTCTCATTTCTTCCAGACTATCCTGCTTTTCTCCTCTGGGGAAGTCTGGAAGGTAGTTAACTTCAGCCCGTCTGGCTCTTTTTATGTTTGAGTGGGGGTGTTCATTTTCAGGGTTGCTTTTGCTCCTCTTGCCTGTGTTGACAGATACCTCCACACATCCAGATCTGGCCAGCTTCGTACGAAAATTACCCATTTTAAATTTGAGACTCGTCTTCCACCCGTACCATCCACTCACCTCTGCTGCCATTCCTATGTCCCTATCACTGGGGTATGGTTTGAATTTGTGCATCACTTCAGCCATGTTCTCTAAGATGTTGTGCTTTTGGGCCCTGGTTAATTTCAGCATCGTTCCAGATGTCTCAAAGGCCACATTTCCGTCTTCAAGGATATGCTCCACTTCATAGGAAAACGTAGGCACAGGGAATATATCAGGCCAGGTCGTCTAACGCTGGCTTACAGGCACATGAGGGAGGATGTCCGTATTAAAACTGGTATTAGAGTAGGTATCAGATTATGATCTGATATCTGATCAACTTTCAATGTGCCTTTCTCAGGTAAGTCTTGAACATCAACTAGACAGCAAAGCTCTCCGTCAAAGTCAGGATCCTAATATTGCAGTGTAAACTCAAAGTCCAGTCTTGGCTTGACTTTCTCTCGCAGCATGTTGATTAGCTCTTCCACTGATTTTGGCCGCTCTGTCAGAGTTACCTTCACAGCAACATCTGAGGCAATGTAAACACGTAGCAGGAATTTCTGGGGTTCTGCTGTCATCTGGAAGACAATACATTTGTTTCAGATTTAGCTGAGGGGACAGTTTACCCAAAAAAGCTAAATCTGCTCTCATTCACTCCGTCATGTTGTACCAATCCAATAAGAGGTTAGT